GAAATAATAATAGAAATAAGAGAATAGTGGGAGAAGGAATAATAATAATCTATTGATAGATAGAAAGTGGTGTTAGAAAAATATGAAATAGCAGAAGAATAAAAGAATTGTTTTGAGCCGTGATCTCATTTTTCTTCAGAACTTAAAATCCTCCAGGATACAATAGAACTCAAAATTCTCTCAGAATTAGATGTAGAACTCTAACTTTGCATATGAAATTATAATACCTAAAAAGTTACTATTTGTAAGAATGTATCCTTCCGAAAAGACATCATTTCATATAGGTACTTTTTTATTGTCAATAGTTATATTTGATTTTCAAACATGTCTTTCAAATTTTAATTTAATAAAATAAAATAAAAATCTAAAAATAATAAAAAAAATTAATGATATTATGACATTTAAGCCCCAAGTGCCCATCTTTTGACTATATATAAAGGGATAATACCCAATTTACCTTGAATTTCATTTTACTTAATTATTTATTGATAAAGAATAGACATTTATAAATTCTTGGAAGTTCTCATACTTTTTTGATGTGAGATTTTAAACATTTACAAACTATTCAACAAGTGGAAATTTTGGTTATAAAAACATATAAAAGTAGATGAAGAGGGATGACTAAGAAAGAATAATAAAGAGAGGAGGATAAGGAGAGAAAAAATAATAACAAATAAATTATAAATATATCAAGGAAAAGTGATGGTAAATATAGTTTAAAATGATAAATATAGTGAGAAAATGTGCAATGGTAAGTTAAGAGATTATGTCACAAGAAAAAATCATGAGGTGGATAAAGGTATGCAAGCAAAAAAAAAAAAAAAAACTAATAGAATAATGCTAAAATGTTGTGTCTTTTATATTTTGACTTAAAACATGTAAAATATAGATAAAGGGGGAAAGAGAATTGGAATAAAAGTATATACATATAATGATTGATTGAGGTGCAAAAAGTGACTAAAAAAGAACAATAGAGTGAAAGGATAATGTGAGAAGAATAATAACAAATAAATTATTAATATAGAGGGAGTAATGACAAAGATATGTATGTAGATAAATATAATGATAAAATATGTGAAAATAAGTTAAGAGATGACATGGCAATAAAAATTAATGAAACATGGGGTATAGGTAAAAGAAAAAGTATCAAGAGAGTAATACTAGTAAGTTATATCATTTATGTTTTGATTTAAAAACTTATAATATGAGCATTTAGGAAAGATGAGACAAATAGAGATAAAAAAGAAATATATAATAGTAATAGATATAAATGCAAAAATAAAGAAACAAATGAACTTTTGATTAATTATTTTATCATGTTTGTTTTAAAAAATTTTAATTAATATAGAAGTCAAACATTTGTTTATAATAAATTAACATGCATTTGAAATGATTTTTATATTTATTAATTAAAAATTAATTTTAATTATGAATCAATATTACTATATTTAATAATTATAAAAAAGATATAATATACACGTAGTTTTAAGACCTAGTTAAATTATTAAGGCTATACAATTATTGATATATATTGTAAAGAATTAATTATGATATTTAAAAATATCAATGTATATAGATTTTCATATATTAAATAATAAATATTATTTATTTTATTATTTATCAATTAACAAATATCATTAAATTATTTTTAATAATTAAATTAAATAAAATCAATATTTTAAAGTATAACACTATAACCTCTAAAAATTTGAATGACGCTAACATTTTAACATCTGAGCGTTCCCATACCAACATTGACCTCCCAAGGTCCTCGCGTACAAATCGAAAGAAGGACGAAAGAAAAAGATCAAAATGTGGCGCGCTCCCTAAATGAAAACATTTCTCCATTTTTTTTCTTTTTATTTATTATCTCTCAGTCCCCACTATAAAATTCACTACTCTCTCTTCTCCTCTCTGCAGGGCTCGTATCTTCTGATTTTCTCGCCTTTTATCTTTTGAGAAGATGACAGAGCCTGTAAAGGAAACATCTTCTCCTGATGGAACTGAAGAATTGAATCTCCAACAGTCAGAGTTGTGCATAAACAAGAATCAGGAACAGCCTGAAAGTTCCAAATCCAAAAGAGTTCGTGCATCTGAACAAGGTGGAAGTGGAGCTAAAGTTGAGGCTTCTTCCGACCAACCAAACAAAAGAGGCCGGAAGTGTACACTGACCCCTGCTGAAAGAAAAGTAAGAAAAAATGAGGGTGACAGAAAACGTAGGAATGATCGAAAGGTAAAAAAAATAAGAAAAAAACCCCAATTTCAACCTCCTAAATAAGAATTTTTTTTTTATTTCCCTAATTTTTATATTTATGTTTCTGCACATATAGATTGAGCTGGGAGAACTTAGGGCAATGATACCTCTATTTGAAGATCTAAAAAATAAAAAAGGACAATTGGTAAGGGAGAACAAGAAACTTAAATCTGAGATTACTGTTATGACTCAGCAGATGGAGACACGAAAAAATTATAAGGTAACATCTCTATCTTCATCTCTTTCTCTTCTATTTATGGATAGTAGCAAAATGTGTTTTTTTTTTTTTCTCTAGATTTTTGAAATGATTCTTCAAAATGATGAATGGAATGTTATCAGCTGCTTTATAATTTCTTAGACTTTGTTTAGTATGATTGTAGTTTTTAGTTCTGGTTTTGGTTTTATAAATTTTGCAACTTTAAATACAAAACACCTTTACTTTCGTGGGTTTTTGTAACATATTATCATAATTACTGGAAAATAAGAATAAAAATAATTTAATACTATTAAATAAGTTTATATTTTTTGTTGTCAATGTAGAAACTTGTTTTAAATAAATTGTTAGTTTTTTATTTTTAGTTTTGGTTTTCAGTTGTCTTAAAATTTATGAAAACCAAAATTTAAAACCAAAAACCACAACCATATTAAACTGAACCTAGCGTGTAGGCCTTGTTGTGGGAAGAAAAGAGAAAGAGGAAAAGCTAGGCACATCTTATGTTTTGCATGATTACCGTACCTGTTGATATGGGTGGAAACATATTATCAACAATTCTTGAAGCTTTGCATCTCATTTTGCTCTGTTTTCTATTTCTAACATGGCAGGAGAATAAGTTGACAGACATGGACATTCCACTGGACCTGGATTTTCTTAATGAAAAGGTATGATAATGCACACTTTCATAGCTTATGGATGGAAAAAATATTACCTGCAACTTAGGCTCTCTACACTCATTTCTTAGTTTTCTGTTTCGGGCATTGCAGAAGAATATGTTGGACTTAGAGATTTAGATGACTACTTTTTTTGATGGAGTGTGATGGTTCTTATTTGATGTGCATCTTTCAGTGTTTATATATGGATATAAATTATCTGCAATGTTTATGGCATTGCAGGATTTTATGTTTATGATTGATGATTTATCTGATGCGAAACTTCTTGAAGAGGTATGATAATTCTTATCTGATGCACAGCTTTTATTTTTATCTTTATTTTTTCTTTTTTGGTGTAGCACTAGTGTGCTTCTTGAACGCAACTTTGATAGTTGATCTCTTTGTTGTGGTACTGCAAAATTTTCCCATTTAGTAGTTTTCTAGAATAATGACCAAGTTATTGTGTTACTGTCTGTTGTCAATTTCTCCTTGTTAATGGGGTTAAGCTTGGTAACATTGAAGGTTTATGACAATTGTGATAGGTCACTATTTGATTGTTAATATCTAACTCTTGATCACTAATTCCTTTTTCATATTGTTTCAGATTGATGCTCTATTTCCTCTCCCACCTCCCAAAGGACCTGCAACAAACAAGCTAATTACTCAGGGTACAGGAAATTTACAAACTGAAGTATTGGAGCCTGACAAGGAGCAAATTCAGGCTGAGTTGGTGAAGGTAAGGGCTACCAACAAAGAATTGAAAAGGGAGAATGCAAGGCTCAACTTTGGGCTAACTGCTCTTGCTCAGAATATGGGCATACTAAAAGAAATGATAAGGTTCTAAGAGATTTCTAAATAATTGTACTTATAGAAAACAAGCCGATTCTTCAAAATGATATGGACCAATTGTGATGCACCACTTTTGATTGTTGATCTCTCATTTTCCATTACTAATTCTTTTCCTTATTTTTGTTTCAGATTGATAACAAAATTCATTCAGCATGTTGCAATGAAGAACTTGCAACAAACAAGCATGTTACTGCAGGTATAGAACTTCCCAAACTGGAATTTCATATGATAATGATGGCATGGAAAATTAATGTATTGAAGAACTTGATGCCAATAACTCGTTTTTCCAGACAATAGCTAAACCTGTTTTTTCCTCATCACTTGCAGGCAAGGGTACCACTGAGGGAGCCTTAAAGTTGAACGGTAAGGGGGAAGACAAGCCAAAAGAGGTACTGAAGGGAAGGCTTGCAATGGCAGTTGATGACACATCCACATGTCCCCCAACAGGCAGCACTTTATCTAGCAGCTTCATGTCCAATACTTGCCAGTCAATCCGCCAATTTGCCACTGCACTAGTCACTCAGAATCATCTGCTTTCCACTGCTGGGGGTGCTGAATTGAGGGAGGCTATACATTACAAGCAAGCCTCTACCTCAGCTTCGTGTATAAAGGGTACAACTGATGTTCTGAAGCTTGAGAAGGTTAATCTGCGGAATTAATTCTCTCTTTCATTCCCACTGCTTTTTCCTTATTTTCTTCCTCAAATCTTTTTGAGTAGCAACTCTTTTCCTCTGACTTTACCAGAATATGGAGGCTTGTGTTTCCCTTGCCATCCAGTTTGCTTGGGAGATAGCCAGCGCACAAAGAGAGTCTAGAGCTGCGAATACTGAAGAGGAGTACAGTGCCAACCACGCAATAGAAACTGCGGACAAGGATAACTAGGGAGTATAGCAAATACGAGGTTGTGGACTTGTGGTCTTGTGGATAGGATTGCGATTTTTATATGATTTCACCTAAAAAATAATTTTTTATTTTCTAAAAAGTAGTTTCTTTGACTCACGTAGCATTGCATGTCATCGCGTCAGGGTCAGGTTGGGCAAGGCATGGTAGGGTAACCGTACACATTAATTTTTCACTAACTGTTTATTTCGGTAATGAAATTTTGTTGTCAATATCATATCAATTGTGGCGTTTTTCTGCACTTGGCTCTTCGGCCAAGTGGCCTTAGAGCTGCCTTGCAGTGCATTTCTCCCCTCTCCATGGTGGGTTCCATACCCACCCTTGTAAACTTGGTAAAAAAAAAAAAAAAAATTGTGGCGTTTTTCTGCAATCGGTGTGGTAGAGGAAAAATTGGTAATTCACATTCCCATTACAGTCCCAAAATTATCGAACCATAAATTTTCATTTTAGTCTTTTAATAATTTCTCAATCTCATTCCATTATCTTTTTGTCTTTCATCATAAAACCAAAACCCACGATGAAAAATGGAAGAATCTTTGCTATTTTAAATGAAATCCGCTCATCAAGAACTCAAAACAATTCAAAAATTTTGAAAAAAAAAAAAAA